TTTCGTTTTATGTTAGAATCAAGCAAACGAGACAAAAAAAATAAAAATGGAATGTAGTTGTTAAGGCTTTACCGAAACAATCCTGTGAGTTTAGTCCTGATCAGGTGGCTGATGCTCACAGACTCACAAGCATCAAGTAAATTGTTGCTTTTTGGTTATTTCCAGAGATTGATTTGTTATCTTTAGGCCGCTTGTTTATGATTTGCAATTTATTTATCACTGCAGTCCATGTGGCTTTGTCGTTACGGGATTTGACACTTCGCTTCCTGCGGATGTTGTCAGGACTGCATTTTTTAGACTTTTCAGTTCCTGTGGAGTGATCATATATCTAAAGATCGAGGAAGACCCTAGTCAACCCGGTCTTCTCAAAAGGTCCGGTTTTGTTTGTCTAGCGGGAGAAGAAGCACATAACAAGGCTGTGGGACTTGATGGGAGTGATTTGGGAGGATGGAATGTAGCTGTTCAGACTTTACCGCCACCAATGAACATGACAAATGTCACTCTTGATAATATTCATGTGAATGTTGGCTGGGAAGGCCCACCTGGTACGTAAAATTGATTCTTGATTCTTTTTACAAAGTAAAACTTGTCACTAATCAAATCCCTGGTTTGTTTTAGGTTACCGCTGGGTCGACTATAATGCTGAGCAACGCAGTAGAATGCTCACTGTCTCTCTCGACGAAGCTCTCTTTGGTGTTTCTCGTTTGTGATACAATGCAACCATTTTTAAAAAATCATTATCTACTATGAGTTTAGTTGTCACACTCAACACCAAGACTTTAGTTTCCTCTATTTTTTTTCTCTGTAAATACTTTCATATTACGCTTTGTAATTTCAAATCTTGAATTTATAAATAGATTGTTTGGATTTCTCTAATCTAGTTAGTAATAATAATCTATTATATAATGAGAGAGTTAGTCAAAATGAGTGAAAGCCGAAAAGAAAAGTAATGAAATGAACATTTAAACAACTAGTACAAGACTATAAAATAATTTATTGGCCTAAATCATATAGTTTCTCTTATAACCAAAAAATATTTAATTTAACCCTTTAAAAAAACTGATATAGTGATAACCAACTTATGTCAATATATTTATAAATTTATAATCAAAATTCTAAAAAATAATTCAACATTAATTTTAAGAGAAATGTATAACGGAAAATATGAAATAGTTTTTCTTTCTTTATTATGAGATGGTTAACTAAGTAAAAATAAAATTTTAAATTATTTTCCTCAAATGTAATATATATATATATATATAAAGTTAGTTTTTTTCTCTTCTCATGACATTAATTTTCTCAAATGTAATATATATATATATATAACGTTAGTTTTTCTCTATTCTCATGAAGAAACATCATCATCCATATAGCATAATAATAATTAATAAATTAAATTAATAGTCGAAGTTGAAAAGTTATTTTCAAAATGTTATTTCAAAAATGATATATCTATATTATCAAAAATAAATGTGAGAAGAAAAAAGAAAATCGATACAATGAAGATAAAAAAGAAGAAAAACAATAAGTAATCATGATATGCAAGAAGAAAAAACATTTCTCAAAGATGAAAAAAAAACATAAGATGAATATAAAGAAGACGAAGAAATGATAAATAATCATGCTATTGAAAGAGATTAAAAAATAATTGATAATTTTAATCATTAAAGTGTTAGTCACTTATTCAGATAACATAATTTATTCGTAAAACCCACATACGATGAAAATACAATGATGATAAAGAAGAAGGAAAAAAAAAATTAATCATAATATACAAAAAAATCATTTGTCAAAGTTGAAAAAAAAATGGATGAAAATAAAGAAGAAAAAAAATGATAGATAATCATGTTATTAAAAGAGATTAAAAAACAACTGATAATTTTAATCATCAAATTGTTAATCGATTATTTAGTTAACATAATTTATTCAGTGCTAAATGTACGTAGATAACAAAATTTAAAAAAAAACATATTTATTTTTAAATACTAATCATTGATATCGAAGTGATTTAGAATTACTTTATATTCATGCATTATAAATAAGAAAAACGTTAATTTTATTTCCTATCAAATCAAAATTTTCATCAGTAAATTTGACAAAATCGTAAAACAAATATTCGCACATCGCGCGAGTGAGATTCTAGTATATATAGCTTACTCGATTAGACCAGCAAGAGAGAGAGGATCTTGATAGATCTTATAAAACCATCACCTTATGTACACTGATACTATGCATATGCAAATGTTAGAACTTAACTTTGTTTAATTAAGGCATTTGCAAGCTCTATTGTTTTCGACAAGAAAAACCTTTATTAAACGAAAGATAAAATGGGGAATAAAGAAGAGAAAATCTATCTCCTAAACATAAATTGGTGAAAAATTAACCAGTTGGGCACAAAGAGGAGGATTTGGACCACAAAAAAAAAGGACACAAAGAGGAGGTAATATTGTCAATTTTCTTGATCGCTTATTGGACAAATTCCTTATATTTGTAAGCATATATTCCATTATTGGTGTATGCAAACAGAAGGTAGACAGAAGTAATTTTGAAAATGATGAGCTATAGAAGATAGTGTGCATTATCCATAGTAATTAGATATATAGACTAAAACATAACTAACGTACTCAGTGTTACAAAATACTCTTAGTTTAAAAGGGCGAAATTGATAATTTATAAAAGTTTGGATATAAGTGCTTCAATTCAGAAGTTTCGGGTTTCTCGGAAAAGTTGTATGAATAATTCGAACAAAACGGCGTCGCTTTATCCTAGACTTGGCTTTATGAATAATTCGAACAAAACGGCGTCGCTTTATCGCAGACTTGGTTTATTCGAACTTAGTTTGGAGAACTTAGAGCATCTCCATTGGAGAAATTTAGGGGGTATATTAGGGGGTTTTTAAAATATAAAATTATTAAAATTTGAGTAAAAGGAAGAAAGAGAATGTTTTTTGTTAAAATAGTGGGATGTATTAAAATATAAAATTAATAAAATTTGAGTAAAAAGAGGAAATAGTGGAGAGAGGGTATGTTTAGGTTGTATGTTAAGAAACTTTTGGAGAGGGTTTTTAAGTGTGTTTAAATATAAAATTAATAAAAATTGAGTAAAAATATGAAAGAGAAGGTATAAAGTTGAATAAAAAAAAGAGAAAGTGTGTTTTAATAATTTTATATTTTAAGAATTTCTAATATACCGCCTAAATTTCTCCAATGGAGATGCTCTTATTCATTAGTGGGAGAACAAAGATCGAGTCTTTAGGACATCTCGAGGACTTATCATCCATTTTGGCCGTGATTTGAGTTTTTAGAGATTTGGGGTTTGTGTATCATGTCAAGCTTGTTCTACTGCCGACAATTTAGCACATCTTCAACTTCGCGTCTAATTGATTTTGGAGACTCTGCTTCTTCGATTTCGCACATCTTCACTCGTAATCTAAGGTTTCTGCTGAGTAGAAGCACATTGTGTTCAGTATCAGAAAGGGAAAACAGAGGATGGTGCTAATGTAAAGAGACCATCTTTAAAATCGTCGTTTACAATATCATATCTTGTGAATTCATGTGGGTTATCTTTGGAATCTACTAAATCGAGATCCAGATTCGTAAAGCTTTCATCTTCTCAAAGACCAGATTCTGTGCTCACACTGCTCAAGAACAGTGGCTTCACCGATGAGCAGATCACTAGGGTGGTCAAATCTTTGTAATGATTTGAATTTGAATTTTTAATTAAAAAATCACAACACTAATATAAATTTCTTTGAACAATGAATATTATAGGTCGAGAAACAGAAACTTAACTAGATTCTTCCGAGTTGTAGAATAATCGAACTGAGCTTAAGGATAATTGTATCTTTGTTTAAAGCCATCCTCATGTCTCTTTCCTTCGAAACAATGCAAACTTTTTCATCTAACTTTCTGTTAATGATTGCTTCAATAAATCAAGGGTCAACTGCAAAATAACCCAAAAAAAAATATTAATAACTAAAAAGTAACAAAATTAGCATGTGTGGCCAAATATCAACCCTTGGATTTATGTTAAATGGTTAGGATTTGTATTAAAGTTTGTTTCGCATGCATTTTCCCATAAATGAATAGGTCTAGCTAACTGGTGAAATAACATCATAAGGTGAAATCTTTAGAAAGGTTAAACATTCACAATACCAATTAGTAGCATCATAAGAAGTTTGTGGGAAATAATTGTGCAAAAGGTTAAATACTCATTATTGTGTGCTTGTAAACTCCTGCGATACCGTTGCATATTCTTGCAAAGTTTTGAATGTTCCTTGCTCATTACAAACTGCTTGTTAATTGTGTAGTTAATTGCTTGATTGAATTTGTTACTTTTTTCATGACATTGAGTGATAGGTTCCCTAGGTATTCCCATTCATGGAATGATTCTCATCAAGGTTTTGTTTCCTATTGTCGAAAAGGCCAAAGAATTGTACAACTCTGGAACCAATGTAAGCTTTTACAACTTTACAAATAGAATAGCAAGTCTTACAACAACAAGAGAAAAAATAATTTATTTAACAATTTTTTCCTTGTGTTTTGTGTCTTTAAGGGGGTCTACAATCCTCCTGCTACTGCGAGAGTCCTTAATAACCACATGTCTCTTGGGGTCGGGAGTGGTTGGGACGAGAACCTTGGCAACTACTACATCAAGACTCAAGATACTTGTGGCACGACATCGAGATCTGGGCGATTCCTAAGGATAGGAGTTGAAATCATACAGTATTTCGTCCTTATGACTTATGCTCCTCAGTAGACATTTTTTATCTCTCATTCTCTATCTCCCATTCTCTTATGTTTTCCGATGCTCTTATGTTTTCTTGTGGAGGGTAAACTATGTGATGATTATGCACTTTTCTTGTGGATGGTAAACTATGCGATGAT